AAAAAAAAAAAGGAATAACAGGAGGAGATGGTTAGTTCAGTGGTTCTCCACCAGGGGTGATTTTGGCCCCCTCCCCCAGAGGATGTTTGGCAATTTGGCAATGTCTGGAGGCATTTTTGGTTGTCACAATGAGGGGAGGGGGGATTCTAGCATCTAGTACTATTAAGCATCCTACAATGCACAGGACAGCCCCACAACAGTCATCTGGCCCCAAATCTCAGTGTCAAAGTTGAGAAACCTTAAATGTAGAGGGAGGAGGGTGTCGATTAAAGTATTGATGGAGGAAATGGGGAGGGGGGTAGGAGACACAGGCAACATGGCTGGGGTTGTGGGTGCACACAGGGAGGGAGCTCAGCACCTGGAGTTCTTTCTCCAGCTGGGTCTTCAAGTCCTCCATCCCTGGAGGCAGCACCAGCCGGGCTGGGAGGCTGGCGGACCGCCTCAGGAGCATGGGGTTTGCACCGTTGAGGAACTGGTACCCAAAGAGGGTGTCATCCTTCCAGGAATTTCGAACCCGCTCTAAAGACATCAGTTGGGGAGCATGCTGTGAGCTCTGAGCCCCTGATCCTACTAACAGATCACTCCCCCTACCCTCTGCCCCTCTTCTTTCAAAGCCCTGGTTTGGAAATATGTGCATAGGTTTGGGGAGGTGGTAGTAACTGACCAGCCAGAGCAGTCTTTGCACGCGGGAATATTCTTTGGAAATCTTCGAGTCTTTTAACTGGATTTGTGAGGTCCAGTGTCCCCTTGAGGACCAAGCCCTCCAGCCTGTGGAAAGAATGGCAATGCTAGGAGATCAAGAAGGGACCCAGCTGCGCATGCTGGGGTGCAAGTGCCCACCCTCCACCCGGCACATACGCTCTTGCGAGCGAGAAAGAGAAGTCGAGATCCTTATCCTCGTGGAATCTCTCATTCCTGGGAAGGTCCGACGGCGTTCTCCCCGCTACAGGCAGGATTAACCCGTCTTTCCAGGAGCCCCACCTGGAGGAAGAACGCGGAATCGGTGATAAGGGGGGCGGTGGGTTTCTTGGGATCTGGTAGAGGGGATCGGAGGCTTGCTCGGGCTCACCGGTACACCGTCTTCCTTTCCTGGAGTTCCTGTTCCCGATGCGTCTTAAACAGGTTCTGGTCGTTGCTCACGGTCCGGGCTGGGCAGGGGGACACGAGCAGCAGGTCTCCCCGGCCTCCGTCCGCGCGGGCCCCACCCTTGCACTTGTCCCCTCTCCTGCACCCCATCGTCCCTCTCTTACGTCACAGCATCCCCGACCCCCTCTTCCGTGCCGCCCCCCGTTGCCCCGCCGCCCTCCCCAGTGCCCTCGGGCAGGCAGATGACCCGGTTGCCCTGCACCAGCTGTAGCAGGGGGAAAAGGCCTCGCCGTGGATCCCGGGGCCGCGCACTGAGATCCAGGGGCAGAACCAGTCGGAGTCTCTCAGGTCTTTGTGCTTGCGCAGCTTCACCAACAGGTGGCGCCCCAGGTGGACCCGGACGCGGACTCCGAACTCCGTCTGGCGCCGGACCCGGGATCGAGTTCAGACGCGGGCTTGCGGGTCCCCCGACTGGCGCGCGGGCGCACCCTCGGAGAGCCCGCCTTCGCGGAGAGACCCGAGTCCCGCTGCAGGTGCCCCCCGCCCGACCCCCGCCCCAGGCCCCCCGGCGCCCAGCCGGCTCTGCACCCACCTCGCGGCACAGCGGCCGCAGCTTCTTCCCCAGGTCGGCCTCCCGGTGCTCGCCCACCAGCCCCAGCTGCACCTGGTTGCAGGAACACGCTAGGAGGGAGTCCCTGGTGGCCACGCGGATCGTGTACTTGCCCATCGCGCTCGGACTTGGAGGAGGCCTGGGGGAGATAAGCAATTTAAAGGATACGAAGCCCAGCCCCCCGGGGAAGCCTCACCCAGACCAGTGTCCCTGGGGCGTGGGCTCCCAGGGTCTCCGCCTCCCACCCACAGGTTCCTCTCTGCCCGGATGCATGTGTCCCCGCCACCGTGCATACCCGAGGTTTCTCACGGTGGCTCCGGAAGGTGCACCCCACCCTGATCCTCTTGGGAACGCTCCCTGGTGCCAGTGCCGCGCCCAGTCGGGCCCCCAGTCTAGCCCACAGGCCCGCCCAAATAGTGAATAAACGGATAAATGAAAGAGATAGCAACAGACAGTGGAGAGGGGGGAGGTTTGAAGTGTGGGGGTGTTTTCAGTGGAAAGTGAGTAAACCATCTTGACAAGGATCCAGGACTTTCTCTTGAGGACAAATACGTGATAGTGCTGGACAGGTGCAGGAGATGGGTTTGTTGTCCAGACTCCGAGTCACCGAGGGGGGTTGGGAATTCCCCTTCAAGTGAGTCATGGAGCTTCCATGGGGCTCTCCTGAAACAGGCTCTGTGGGGTCAGCACCCCGGCTGAGCACCTGTAAGGGGCCCCGTCAGCACGTTCCCTTCAGGATCCATTCTTCTCCAGGCCACCTCCTTATCTCTGGCTCTCCTCATCCTCTTTAGGGACAGTTGCTGTGCCAGGCACAAATCCTTCCCAGATTCCTTCTTCGGATGCTCATTTCTTTCCATCCCTCCCCAGCACTCCTGCTCTCTGTTGGCTTGCCTCTTTCCTGAACCTCCTGTTCTGTTGTGAACAAAAGGCCTCGAATCCATAGCCTTCTGCTTAAATATTGCTTCTAGTTCTACATGTTGAATTAGTCAAAATAGATGGATCAAGAGGGAATCAAAAACCTTAAGCATTTTGCTTTAAAGCAGAACTGTAAATGAATAGCCACCCACAAATGTTTTTATATAGGGCAGGAGTTTTCCAGCGTGGGTCCACAGTAAGAGCTTCCCAGGGTCTTTGTTGTGCAAACCACACCCAGATGAGTTCACATCATTTAAAAGGGAGCTCATATCTACCATCTGCATCGACAGGGTTGGAACTGGAGGGGATTATGCTAAGTGAAATAAGTCAATCAGACAAACACAATTATCATATGGTTTCACTCATATGTGGAACATAAGGAATAGTGCAGAGGACAATAGGGGAAGGGAGGGAAAACTGAATGGGAGACGAACCATATGAAATTATTGACTCCGGGAAACAAACTGAGGGTTGCGGAAGGGGAGGTGGGTGGGGGGGATGGGGTACCTGGGTGACGGGCATTATAAACGGCATGTGAGTGTTATACTCAACTAAGGAATCATCGAACATTATATCAAAAACTAATGATGTACTATACCTTGGCTAATTGAATTTAAATAAATAAAAAAAAAGGGGGGGGAGCTCAAACCTAAAGGTTCTTGTGGGGGAAAGACTAAATTCTGTGTCTCTCCAGATCTTTACAGTTTTCCTCAAATCATTTACAGTCGTCTTGTCTACTCCTAATCATTAACTTGACAGTGATTTTTAAATGATCCTTGTTTATAGAGTCATAATGTAGCCAATTTGATTTTAATAAAAATACCCTTTTGTTTACTTACTTCATCAGTTTGTAAATTGCACGATTGCAATAACAAGTATATAACAACAATAACACGGGACATCAACAGTCTAGGGGGTGTACACACTCTTCTTGATAAACAGAAGGCTCCACGGGTGGGCATCAAGTGCCACTCGCGGCAGGAATGAGGCTACCAGCCACGTGCTTCTGGCACACTGTGGGCCTGTTGGTCTTCTTTGGAGGGGATGCTCAGTGTCGGTTCAATACAGGTGATTTGGAAGCTTCGTTGTAAAATCCGCCTGCTCTCTGATGCTACCTTGTCCACTTCAGCACCCTCTCCTAATACTCAGGAATCGGGGACCCTGAGCGATCTCAACCCTCGCCGCCCAACACATCCACGGAATTGTGTTGCTGCCATCCCTCGGGGACTGTCTTCTGCAGTTCACACTGTTGCCAATAAACCCTTGATTCTTCTTCCCCTCAAACTGGAAGCCCTCTCCTCTTCGCATTGACTCCAACCGCTGACCGACTTCCCCTCCACCCTGTAACCTACCTTCCATTGTCCTCCAGAGCCTCAACCTCTACTTAGAGAACTTTCTGACAGCCTGGCACCATGTTCTGTCCACTGACCCTGCCTCCGGATCCCTACGTTTCACGTTTCACTTGTCCGCCTATCCGATCACAATTTATTATCACTTAAAACCCACCCGCAGTCTGCCGCTCTTACTGTGGTTTATCTCTCTGTCTTTGAACTTTGTGCTCTCACACACCCTCTGGAGGAGAGCATGGAGAAATTCCACTGACGCCACTCGTCAGAGGTTATCTCTGCCATCCACTGCTGGTTGCTTGTGTGGCTATGGTGGTCTATACGAGTAGTGTTTGGTTCTTGGAGCAGTGTGTTTAGCTTCATGCTTATCTTTCCTATCGAAAGAACTCCTAGAGCAGGTTCTTACAGTGCAATACTCCAACGCCATTTTTAGGCTGGATGTCCCATTGTTTGGCCTGGAGAAAACTGCAGTCCCGTGGCTTCTGCCTGTTCATGTGAAGCCACAGGAATCACTGATACCCTCCTCTGTACCCATTAAGGACTGCAGAGAAGTAGGAGTTGACAACGGACCCATCTTCCCCCAGGGCAAAATATATTAAGATTCTTTCAGGCCTGGGTGCCCGGGTGACTCAGTTGGTTAAGCGACTGCCTTCAGCTCAGGTCATGATCCTGGAGTCCCGGGATCGAGTCCCGCATCGGGCTCCCTGCTCAGCAGGGAGTCTGCTTCTCCCTCTGACCCTCTTCCCTCTCGTGCTGTCTATCTCTCATTCTCTCTCTCTCAAATAAATAAATAAATAAAATCTTTAAAAAAAAAAAAAAGATTCTTTCAGGCCTTCTTGGAACTCCTTACTAGATTCAGAAATCTCCAGTAAGATTCCTTCCTTCAAAAGCCTCCAGACCAATAGCAAACACGAGTTTCTATTTTAAAGTATGCCTCCAAATTCAGAAGACAGATCATTCCCTGTTCTTCTGAAATGGCAATGCTCCATACTCCTGGGGCATCAGAACTCTTCTACTAACTTTTATTTCACTGTCCTACATACCAGTGATGGCAAGGGGAGATTCACATTCTGCTGGCTTCCCTGCAGTAGCCAAGGACCCAACAGAAGACAGATGACACATTGAAAATAGGATAATTGGAGGAGACAATGATGAAGGAGGGGCAGGGGGTGAGAGACCCACAGAGGAATGCTACAAGATCCTGAGTCCGTGAGCCCTGTAGCTGCCACCACCCATGGGCCCGCGGAAAAGGTTACTAAACCCAGAAAAGAGAAAGCTTTCTAAGGAAGGCTTCCTTGAAAGGAACGGTGTCCTTTTGTCAAGTCACACAGCCTAAAATGAACTTTTAGGGAGGGACCCAGGGGAATAAACATGCTGACTTCATTCTCCTCCCTCCCTATGACCTCCTGCTGAGGCTCTCCATTGGACAAAACCAGCTAGAAACGAGGGGGTATGAAAGCCCATTAATTAAAGCCCATTAATTAACCTATAAAAAGCTTCTGCACAGCAAAGGAAACAATCAACAAAACTAAAAGGCAGCCTATGGAATGGGAGAAGATATTTGCAAACCACATATCTGATAAAGGCCTAGTATCCAAAATCTATAAGGAACTTACTAAACTCAACACCCAAAAACCAAATAATCCAGTTAAGAAATGGGCAGAAGACATGAATAGACACTTTTCCAAAGAAGACATCCAGATGGCCAACAGACACATGAAAAGATGCTCAACATGACTCATCATCAGGGAAATAAAAATCAAAACCACAATGGGATACCACCTCACACCTGTCAGAATGGTTAAAATTAACAACACAAGAAACAAGTGTTGACAAGGATGTGGATAAAAAGGAACCTTTGTGCACTGTTGGTGGGAATGCAAACTGGTTCAGCCACTGTGGAAAATAATATGGAGTGTCCTTAAAAAGTAAAAAATAGAACTACCTTAAGATCCAGCAACAGTGCTACTAGGTATTTACCCAAAGGATACAAAAATACAGATTCGAAGGGATACATGCACCCAATGTTTATAGCAGCATTATCTACAATAGCCAAACTATGGAGAGAGCCCAAATGTCCATCAACTGATGAATGGATAAAGAAGATACGGTGTATACACACACATACACACACAATGGAATATTACTCAGCCATCAAAAAGAATGAAAATGAAATCTGGGCCACTCGGTGGCTCAGTCGGTTAGGCGTCTGCCTTTGGCTCAGGTCATGATCTCACGGTTCTGGGATTGAGCCCCATGGTGGGCTCTCTGCTCAGTGGGGAGTCTGCTTCTCCCTCTCGCTCTCCCTTGGTGCTCTTTTTCCTTCTTTTGCTCTCACTCAAATAAATAAATAAAATCTTTTAAAAAATGAAATCTTGCCATCTGCAACAATGTGGATGGAGCTAGAGTGTATTATGCTACATGAAATAAGTCAGTCAGAGAAAGATAAATACCATATGATCTCACTCATACGTGGAATTTAAGAAAAAAAAACAGATGAACATTTGGGAAGGGTGAAAAGAAAAAAAGAGAGAGGGAAACAAGCCATAAGTGACTCCTAAGTACAGAGAACAAACTGAGGGTTGATGGAGGAGGGAATAGGCTAGATGGGGGATGGGTGTGTTAAGGAGGGCACTTGTGATGAGCACTGGGGGTTGTATGCCAGTGATGAATCACTGAATTCTACCCCAGAAACCAATATTGCACTCTATGTTAACTAACAAAATTTAAATTAAAAAATAATCTGAACTAAAATTTAAAAATTTATATAGATACAGATATATATCCCATAAGGTCATCCTCCCAGGGAAGACACAACAGCGCATAAGAGTACAAAATGGATTTAGAGACACAAAA